ACGCACCTAATCACGTTTCATACCTAACAAATAAAGAATACATAAAAACTAGCTGTATGCTATTTTGAGTTCAGAGCTTTTTATGGAACTACCATTAATGAAGTCCAATTAGAAGTTTATTTTAAAATTCATGGTTAAACGTCAGGTCATTCATCATTATTTATGGATACGAATGTTAGTCACTGTAGTATAGTACGATAGAGGGAAATAAGATACAAAATAAATGAAATGATATCGTTTTTAACCGGCAAATCGAAATTTGTTTTAGGCGTCAGTTTCAATTGAGAAATTGAGTATTTTATGATTTCCCAAGTTTTCTCCATCTCATTTACCAGACACCTCATTGATACTGAAACAACGTGAAAGACACTGAAAACGTAAATTGATATGTATACGGTGATGACCAAAACTTCAATTTTTAAGCTAATTCTTGTATTTTGTTTATAGAACATTAGACAATGGTTGCAAAGTCGTTGAAAGGAGAATGATTATTGAGTATGATTTGTTTTTTCTGAAAAGAAATACCTTTGATAATCAGACAGCTTTAATTTTTATGATCATCAAGTTCTGAGTAGCACCGTTAAGATTATTCACTTCGGATACCAGTACAAAAATATGTACAATGTAAAGAAAAGCAACATATTTACAAGTGATAAGCCATGCTAAGTTTCTTTAGATGTCCTTTACATTTCGTTTCCCTAATGGTTGAATACGTATTTTATTACTAACTTGATATAATAATCCTATTGGAAGTTTCTGAGAAACAAGCGGATTTTTCAAAGAAATCCTAGAAAACCTAGTTTAAAAAGTTTCTAAAAAGAATCTCGCTTATGCGAATATACTCCTTCTTTTGAATGGCATAACCCGCAAGCCTCTATCGCATTCCTATCAAAAGTTACTCAAAAACATCCGCGTGTCTTATACTTTGAAATGGATAGTAGTCCAATCGTCCGTTTGGTTAAATATTTCTCGTTCTCATCGTTCAATTATTTTCTGATATGGTAATAATCCTGTCAATCCTGTTGATTAGTCGTACCATTACAGTCCTGCACATATCCAGTTGGTATGAAACAATATTCATGTGAACATTTGGTTGGGTTGTTTGCTTTATTAAACTTGTATCAAGTTAGTGGTAAAATAAGTATTCAACCGTTAGAGAAACGAAATGTAAAGGACATTTAAAGAAAGCTAACATGGCTTGTAAATATGTTGCTTTTCTTCACATTGTAGATATTTTTGTAGTGGTTTCAAAAGTGAATAATCTTAGGAGTGCTACTCAGAACTTGTTGAGCAAAAGTATCTTGCTTTGGTGATCATAAATACGGTTATCAAAAGGCACATTTTCCCATAATTATAGAAAAAAGGAATTTTTTCCAATAATTTTGTTGTGAATAGCTACGCTAACATCGGATGTTTATATGACAAGATACTTTCTTGATTCAGCTCTTCATTACCATTTGAAATTGGCTTAGACAGTATTCGTCGTCATTTATCCAGGCCTGATCGCCAAGATACTATTGATTACTATCCATCCCAAAATACAAGACCCGTGGGCATTTTTGGATAACTTTTGATAGGAATGAGATAGAGACCTGCGATTTTCGCTGTTCAATAGCCAAGACTTGAGCAGAACTTTTCACAAGCGGAAG